AAGTGCTTGCTGACAGGAGCCTGTCTTCTGACAGGCTCTTCCAGAGCCTGACAAATACTTGCTTGAAGCCAACCATTGGACTGAACACAGGGTTCCCAGTGAAGGAGTTAGAGAAAGGACTGAAGGAGCTGAAGGGATTTGCAATCCCCTATGAAGAGCAACAATATCAGCCAACCAGATCCCTAGAGCTCCCAGGGACTGAACCACCAGCCAAAGAGTACACATGGAAGGACCCATGGCTCCAGCTGAATATGTAGCAGAGGATGGCCTTGTCAGACATTAATGGGAGGAGAGGCTCTTGGTCCTGTGAAGGCTCGATGCCCCAGTGTAGGGGAATGCCAGGGTGGGGAGGCAGGAGTGGATTAACAGGTGGTAGAGCACTCTCATAGGAGCAGGAGGAGGGGAATGGGATGGGAGTTTCCAGAGGGGAAACCGGGAAATAGGATAAAATTGAAATGTAAATAAATAAAATTATCCAATAAAAAAAGAAAACTCTATAACAAAAAGAAGCAAACACACCTAATAGTAGATGGCAGAATCAACTGGCTTGGCTCATAGGAGCTCACACAGACTGAACTGACAACCAAGGAGCCTATATGGAGCTGACCTAGGCCCTCCACATGTATGTTACAGCTGTGTAACTTGATCTTCTTGTGAGACTTCTAACAGCAGAAGCAGTAGCTGAATTTGACTCTGTTGCCTGACTTTGAGACCTCTTCCCCCTATTGAGTTGCCTTATGTAACCTTAAGAGAAGAGGAAGTGCCTTTTCTTACTGCAGTTTGATATGTCATGGCTGGTTGATATCCATAGAGGCTGGCCCTTTCCTGAAGAAAAACAGAGGAGGAGTGTGTGGAGAAAGATGGAAGAGAGTAATAAGGGAGGATCTGGGGATTAAGGAGGGAGGAAAACTGTACTTGGGATGAAAAATTAAAAAAAAAAAATACCCACCAGTCCAGATTGCAATAGATGGACTAAATCATGTATTGTTATTAAGTATGGGTGACAACTTACCTCTGTAAGGACAAAATATGTTTTATTTAATAGTCAGATAATCTTGGTGCAAAAGATATCTCATATTTCTTCCTATATGTAGGAAACATAGCATATTATACCCTATTCACCTGGTATCCATTATTTTGCATGGCAATTTACCAAATATTTCTTACAGGAATGAAGTCTGGTCAGCCAACGTTGACTAAAATCCTGAATCAATTTTTCTTTCTACAAATCTGAAATACTTCTAACTCCACAAGTAGTTAAATCATTCATTAGAAAGAAAAACAACCACAGGCAAATAAAGAGAATTAAATTAATACTAGGGTACATGCTTATGCTATACTTACTAGAGATAATAGACAGAAGTAGGAAAGACAACACGTATAGAATCTGTAAACTTCACAGTGATTCTGAGATGAAGTCCTTGGCAAAATCCTCTGGGAGTGATTGGGAATAGGATCCTTAAAACTAATGGGAACATTTGTACATCTCTGTTTGGTACTAGTTATTAAGTAGAATGAGGGTCACTTCTTTGTCTTAAGGATCATAGACTTATTAATGTTCCTATTTGTACCTGAACTCCAGTTCCAGTTTCTGTATATTCTCATAGATTCCCTTCAATAATTCCTCATCTACAGGCTTGCTGGTTATTTCTTGTGAGGACAGCCCCTTCATTGTCTCCAGAAACTCTTGTGTGCCTCCTGGAAGGGTGGGTATTGCCTCAGGCCTTTTGCTGCCCTCTAGTGGCTACTATTCTCACATATGCCAAGGTGGTTGATGAATGATCCTTGGGGAGAGCTGTGGTCAATACAAATATCTGTGCAAAGACCAGAGATGGCATGAGGCCTCGTCTGTAGTATTTGCCGTTACAGATGATAGGAGCAAGAAAGAACACTCATGCAACTATTTTACAGGCAGAGACCCTGTGACTGAACAGTTCTGATTCTTTTCCTTGACTGAAAGCTGGAAATGTCCTTGGTCTTGTCTGCAGTTCTGTCCCCACTGGGAGCCACGTGTGCCAGAGGGAGTTCTGGTACATGATTGTTTGTTTTTTCCCTAGGTCAGCACCTGTGCTTGGAAGCTGAATGTAAGATATGCCTAAAGGTAAAAGGAGACACATTACAGTTAGACCAGCTGGACTGAACATCTCCCCTGCCTCATCCTACTTTCTGTAATCAGTTGTGTATAAAGGACATAGATTAGCATCTCGACGATCTTTACACTTTCTTGGTTCAGTTCCAGCTACACAGGAGCTCTGCCCTTTTTCTTTCTCTTATGTTCTCCATACACTTTCCAAAACTCACCCTCAGTAATCCATTGATTTCATCCTCTAGATTCTCGAGATAAAATGTGGAGCTACTGACTCTGAAATGTTTCTGTGACTGTGAGATTCTGGTTCCCTAATTCATAAATTAAACCCTTCCTGTGGATAAGATGGTCTCTACTGAACTCAAAGCCTTCCCCCTTCACCATCACTCCATTTCATCAGTAGACTTACCAACTGTGTAGCATCCTACCAATTTAGCAAGTGCTCAGTGTTCTAGAGACAGAAGAGCTGATGATAACAGGAGAGGATGTTTCAGTCTCTCTTAGAGATGTTTTCTTGGGACAGAATTAAGCAGATGATGTCACAGTGACGTGTTTGTTGTCTCTGACATACAATATAGTCTGTTGGCTCCTTGCTGGCAGGTCTAGGAGGGAGGAGAGAGGTCACAGTCTGCTGTGTCTCTCTCAGGGCTGAGCTGGATGGCAAGTGTTGACAGCCCCCCTCCCCCCCCAAAAAAAAACCACTGAGCCAGGAGTCTTGTCAAAGCAGGAACTCAACTTTATTGCATGAATCTTTTGCTTATATAAACTTGGAGCATAGGGAGGGGGATTTTTGGAGGGGTGAGATGATGTAGGGGGTGGGGAAGGGTGACAGAGGGTATGGAGTGACTGACAGGGACAATGGCAAAGCTTTACATCAGCAACAGTAGGGGAGAGGCAGGGCCAAACAGGTCTTGCTGAGTTACCTCATATGAAAGTGACTGAGATAGGTGTCAAACCTAACCAGGCTTAGGCTCTCCCACAAGGCCGCAGAATCTTGAGCCAGGCTTGGGTTTGTCCTCAAGGCCCAAACCAGGGCCAAAATGGGGCCCAACATAATCAAAAAGAGTCATCTTTAGACACAATGTTATTTTGTTTTAAAAAAATTAAGTTTCATTTTGTATGTATGTGTGTTTTGCCCGTTTTTATGTGAATCATTTCTATGTCTGTTTCCAGCAGTAGAGGTTATTGGGTCATCTGAAACTGGAATTACAGATGTTTGTGGGCAGCTGTGTGGGTGCTAGGAATTGAACTGAGGTCCTCTAGAAGAACAGTCAGTGTTCTTAATCATTGAGCTGTCTCTTCAGCCCTCTTAGGCACAACTTTAACGATGATAAATTTGTAAGCATCCCCCAATTTCTATTCTTGATTTCCCATAAAAATGCCCTCAAATGTATTCTCTTGGAGATAGAGACTTACTCATTTCTTCAAACCCACACATATTTAAAATTTAAAAATCGAATGCCTGCTGCCAGAGTTGCTAGGCAGTAGTCTCATCAGTAGACCAACTGAAGAGTCACATGCACTGAAGAGCTGAGGAAGAATTGTTCAATGTGGGAGAAGAAAAAGATCCAGTCATCCACTCAAGTTCATCTTGAGGTGATAACATGACCTTTGGGTTAAATGGGTGGCAAGAGCCATGCCTAACTGCTGCTAAGTAGTCTTGGCCAAGTGTGGTTTTACCTGTCATAGTCATGGTTCCAGAGCCTCCTGAAAGGTGGTCTGATAACTTTACAGAACTGTATGAAAACTCTTCCTGGGAGACAAATGCCTTCTCTGGCTGGCACCAGGCTTCGTCATTTTCTTGTTTTAGCATGAACATCCTGAGGAAGTTCCAGTTCCTTGGGGGTCTACTGTCCAATAATCTGATAATTGAAAGGAAGGGCACAATGCTTCTATTCAGAATGTCTTCATGTCTTCCAGGATGGTTTGGCTCCCTAGGTCAAGGCAGGTGGCACATACTGAGAACAAATGTAAATGCGCTCCCTTTACCCTGCTCAGATGAAGTTTACATTTGAGTTGGTTAAAAAGTCATCAGTGTAAAATTACTTAGTTAATCATATCCAATTAAACTCTGGAGGGAAAAATGTGGATTAGGGAAGGAATCATCAAAGAAATGATACATGAGCTGGAAATTAAGAGATATTGTTCAGATCAAGGACTTGGTCTTGGGAAAGGACTGAGCAATCCAGAAAAGAGAAAGACTGTATTCCTTTAAAAGGAAAAAGAGGAGTGAGCAGCAGACTGGTTTTAACCAATCTCTGGAAGGAAGATTGCATAACAAATACCAGTATGAAATGCAAAGGATAATTCTGATTGGAGCAAGGGAAAACTTCATGGGAAAATTATTTCAGTGTTTTAATGGATAGGGTGGCTTCTGTAGACATGGGGAAACAGGAAAATCAGCTTCCTGAGAGCACACCATGAAATCTGTTGCCAAAGTCATTTACAATCAAGTTGTCATGTTTACAGGTCCTTGAAAAGCTGGTTTTATTCTTTAATAGATGAGAAATGATGCCATTGTCCCCTACAAAATAGCTGAGGTTTTACTCGAACCAAATCTGTTCGAAAATGTTAAGCTGGTTACACAGAACTAATGTGCCTCAAGGTGGTCATTCTCTCTGGATTAAAGCCTGGGAACAATTGTGGCTCCTGTTACAAGGAAAATTACAATGGGCCATTATGGAGAGGGACAAAAATCTCTGTTCCCAGAGGGGGACTGACAAGCAGCAAGTCCCCCTCTGCATGCCAACACAAAAGCCTGATTGCTTCAGATTGCTTGTTTATGCAAATTGAAGGCAACATTAATTCTGAGACTGGATCTGTGAGGTGCTGGGGATGTTGCTGATTGGCTGGGTTTTGCTCCCGGGCTGGTAACCAAACTGACAAACCCTATCATATTCATTCCGAGCTCTGAAAACCTTTAGAAAGAATCTTGCTATTGCGTGTCAGACTGAGAGTTTGTTTTTATGTTAGCTTTTGGAATTGTAGGAACCAGAGCATTAGAACTTATCAAGGATCTGCTCCCTTACTTTCTCCGTTGCTTCCTTAAATCAGACCTCAGTGAACATCATGACAGATACTCCTGTGACACTCAGCGGAACAGAGTGCAATGGGGACAGACCACCTGAGAATGGCCAACAGCCTAGCTGTCAAACCAGGAAGGAGACAGCTGATGCAGATGAGACCCAGCCATACTACAGGGTTGAACCCAGTCTTGAAGATTTACCTACAAAAGAAAATCAAGAAGAAAGTGGAAAAATTAAAGGGAACATACTACCCAAAGGGTCTGAAGACGAGAAGATTCGTAATGGTAAAGTATTTCTTTTTCTCAGTTTAATTGTTTTGTCTTAAAAGCTTTTTCAAAAAATTATATTAATTAATATTATATAAATAAGCTAGACCCAAGAAATGCAGCCTCTTTTCCCAATAAGGGCTTCCTATCATATTGACTCATGAGTTAGGCTTGTCTGATAGCTCTGCAATCCTGCTGTTTTCTCTTCTGAACCTTGATTATTTTCACTGGAAGAAAACAGAATAAAAAGTAGCCACCTTTAATAAGTTGTTGTATAATTTCTAAAGGGTAATCCAATGTTAACTACTGCTATACTTGTTAGAACCACAGGTTCATTGTTGTTTGAAAAAGGAGAACTCAGAATTGTAAGATCCCTTTCTGTATATGTCTAAAACGGTCTTAATCCATGTGTGTGTGTGTGTGTGTGTGTGTGTGTGTATGTGTGTGTGTGTGTATGTATGGAGAGATTATCATTGTAGAAACTAATTATTAAACAAATGCAATTTTAAAAAAATCAAAAAAACTAGAATAATAATAGAATGATTTGTGAACCTTTAGCCATATGTGTTGGAAATGTTACATTACTTGTGTTTCACCCTAGAAAACCCAGAAGAGAACCTCTTCGTTGTTCATCAGGCCATTAAAAATCTTTCTCTCCAAGAAACAAATGCAGAAGATAAGGCTTTCCTAGAAGGTAATGGGAATCCTAGTCTCTTAATGTAATTGTTTGACTGGATGTGATATCATTGTATAAGATGTGTGTTATTATTGCATGTGTGCTGTAGAGAAGCAGTTCCAAACAATGACTTCAAAATCTTCAAGCTGCTAAGAGTAGATACCTAAGTCATGCCTTTCCTTACCCAGCTTTCTAGATGGCTCAAGCTCCAAACAGTATGGGTCAGTCTGACTACTTGGCACTGCAAAGTGATAGTTATGTCTTGATAGGTAAGCCTATTACACCAAGCTTTCTCTTTAATTTGATGCTCCAGATGGGTGTCAGGCAGCTTCTGGGATAGTTAAGAAACAGGTTTAGTCTAAAGTTTCCTATTGACATTTGATATAAAGTAACTTTATAAAACAGTTACTATGTGAGAAAATTATGTCTGAAAGAAGTATAGAATAGTTAACTATAATTATTTTTTGTTAAAAAAAATACCCCAGAATGATAAAAATAATTTTGTGATCTTTACACAACTGTGAGAGAAAAAGACCAAGGAAGCAGCAATACTAAATTTCAAGTACGGTCAGTAGACAAAGTTACAAAATCTGCTAAACATTTCTTCTAAGAAATATTTATACTCAGATAGTTTCTGAGCTCAGCTCGGTATAGAATCTATTAATTAATCAATCATTCCTTCCTTCTCTATAAGCTATAAACAGCCTATCCTCAAATTGAAGCCAGAATGTGGCACCTAATCAATTTAGTATAAGACCCTACCAGGCAAAACAAAGGGGAACCCCCAAGGAACATGCGAATACCAGGTAAATAACCAATGTTAAGGAGAACACATGGGGAAATGGGAATTTCGGAGTCTCTCCCTTTATCTAGGGAACTCCAAGACTCTCTGCTGACCAACATGTAAGCAGTTATAGCAAAGCAGTAGCTGGTATCAAAGAGGAATCACAGAGAGACCATCTCAGCACAGGCAGTGATAAAAGTTAAGACCCCACAAAAGGAATGACATAATTTTGTTGCTCTAGTCTTTCGGTTTTTAATGTGACTGGTGTATAAAGGAAAGGTTTCAGTTGTCTACCTGTAGCTTCTGTATCAGTAATGAGATCCATTACAAGCAAAGTTTACTAGGACTGTGCCTTTCAATCATGTGAAGAGGGATGGTACTCCCTTCTTATGTGACATGGTGTCACCAGTGAATTTGCCTCTGCTCACATCCTTTCCCTCTTAAATCAGCACTCTTTGACTCTATGACCAAGGTGCTGGCTTCTGTGCCTTATCCTTTCAAAATGGCAAACAGCTATACAGTCTCCTAAGAGAATATGCCTGCCAAGAATAAGATGCTAAAAATATTGAGGGAAAAAACACTAATCAATTTAAATTGAAGGATGAATTTTATTCCTGACAATTTTGGGCCTGAGTTTTCAATATGGATTAAAAAAATCAGTGTGTGTATGTGTGCATGCGTGCGTGTGTCTGTGTGTATGTGTGTGCCTGTGTGTGTGTTGTTGTGTTTTATTGGTGAGAGAACACATCAAAACATAGCCCAATATCAGCCAATATCCAATGTACACTTATTTGCAATGTAAAGAGTATCAGATGGAGGATTGACAGCAGCTGTTTAGGACGAGTGTGGGTGGTAATTCATGCTTTCTTCTCTCTATCATCGTCCATGGAATCTTGGACTCAGAGGAAAAAAAACCTTTGATTAAAACAGACTTACAGGGAGAACTGTGGAGGGAGAAAGAAGTTGGCAATGGCCTTTCACCTTGTTTATAGGCTCTTGTGTCATTGAAAGAGAATGGTGAAGCCACAAGCTCTAGGAATGTTCGCTCTGGCTAAGAGTGTTTTCCACATAAACCTGTTAAATGTGTATGGTCAGTAGAAATTTCTACTCTTTTGCCATTCATTTTTATGCATCAAGAAATGCTAGTGAATTATGTTAATATGATCCAGCTGTTTAGACACAAATGGTTATAGTGCTTTAAGTGTTCTAAAAGCCACAACATGGCACCAAATAACCAGTTAATCTGCTGTCATTTGGGGCAACAGGAGAACCTAGCATTATATGCATACAAGGCCAACATTAGCTTTAGATCTGTATCTCTAGAAGTCAGTAGAGGATCGTAAGCCCTGTTGTGTATGACTCAGTGGCCCGCTTATGAATTCTTAGGTTCTGAATATCTAGGGACCTGTGACCTCCTATGTTTTTTTTAACACTTTACTTTTATTTTATGTATAATGAGTGTTTTGTCTGCATGTATGTTAGTGCCCTCATCTCTCACCTGGTTCCTGGAGGCCAGAAGAGGTCATTGGATCCTCTAGAACTACCATTGCACAGAATTATAGCCTACGATGTGGGTGTTGGAACCAAACATGGTTCCTCTGAAACAGAAAATTTCTGGAACAATAGGCCACCTGTCTAGCCTGCCCTTGCTCCTTTTTACATTTTTAATTTTGGTGTTACTGTGTGTGTATGAATGATTTACATGCATGCTAGTCTGTGTACCATGTGCATGACTAGTGTCCACAGAAGCCAAAAAAGGGTACTAGATCCCTGCCTGGAAATTGGACTTAGAATGATTGTGAGATGCCACATGGGTCCTGGGACTGGACCAAACAGAGCTCTTGGGCTCTGGAAGAGCAGCTTGTACTCTTAACCACTGAGCCATTTTTTCTAGCCCCACTCAGAGACAGTGTCTATGACTCTGAGTTTGACTAGCCTTGGGCAGACATCATTTACATACTGGAATAAAGTGTTTTAGCCCAAGGCATTGTTTGCATTGTCCTTGTGGGATGTATTTGTTGATGTGAGGTAAATCCAAATATTTTACTGAGTGTGTACAAATACACACATAAAATATATACATGGACACACATGCATGATCTGCATACATACATATATACATAAACACACAATTTTTGCAAGGGAAAAATTTTAAGTGTGCCTCAGAGAATAGTAATCCTACTACATATACCAGTCTACGACAAAAGAATTCCAGTCAAAGGAGGTTGTGTTATAGCTATTCCTGAAAACACATAATGCTCATTAACATTTTAAAGACTTGAATGCTGAGATATGTATTTAACTATATGAAATGCAGTATTTTGGAAACCCTTTTGACTGTGAAACTTAAATGACTGTCTAGAAGTTAGCAGGCAACCCCAAGTCAGAGTCCAGAAGGCAGAAGTTGGAATCTCATTGTCCAGAAGAGTGACTTAGAGTATTACTGAGTAACAGCTAGGTGCTCTGAAACCCACTAGTTCATTTTGTTGCAGGACATCCATGGAAGAAGATTCCTCTGAACAGCAGTAACTTGGAAGTGAGTAGACAGAAGGAAAGAATTGTCCACCAACATCTGGAGCAGATTGAAGATGAAAGCACAGCCCACCAGGCCACGGAAATTGAATGGCTTGGGTTCCAGAAATCTAGTCAAGTTGATATCTTGCATTCTAAATGTGACGAGGAGGAAGAAGAAGTGTGGAATGAAGAGGTCAATGAGGAAGATGGTGATGAGTGTGCTGAGGAGGAAGATGAAGTCCGAGTAATAGAATTTAAGAGAAAACATAGAGAAGGTTCTCCATCAAAAGAGGAAAGCCTTGAAAGGGAGGACTCCCCACTAAGCAGCCCCAGCTCCCAACCAGGGACCCCCGATGAGCAGCCAGTGTTCGGAAAGAAGGGAGACATCGCTAGGAATTCTTATTCCAGATACAACACAATATCCTATCGGAAAATCAGGAAAGGCAACACCAAACAGAGAATTGATGAGTTTGAGTCAATGATGCACTTATAAACTAATGGGGAGTGAGGAGCATTAAAGAAAAGCTAACTTCTAACTTCCTTCCGCTGAGATGTCTTCCTCTGCCTTATTTGCAAGACGTGAATGCTTAATGTCTTTTTCACCATAAAGCAACTTAGAAATAACCATAGACAAAACTCATTCTGGTAACTTCAAACCAACAAGCTTTAGACTCATTCCTGGGTTTTTGCTTTTAAAGCAACAAAAAAAGGTTAACTAGTGTAGCATCAGGTAAGCATTGTTACAGAGCTGAGCCTGGTAGGATTTGTCTTTAAAAGTAGCAATAGTAAGAGAGGCAAGTCAAGTGAAAGAGAACAGTAGACATGACTCTCATAACTCTCTTGGTGTTTTTTTTCCCCTTTTAAGCCAATGAGAAGCTTAAAATTAAACCCCATCTCCATTAAACATGGTTTTTTATAGATTCTGGCTTTTTTCCTTGCTTTTCTAATTATTGTAAAAAACTATTGTGTCTTAAGTCGGTTTCCTTGACATCTACTGAGTAAAAATTCAGCAGATTTCCTTTCTAGGTGCAACTGTCCAGTGACTTTCCTCACTATAAGGCTAAGCAATTGTCAGTCAGAACTCTGTTTGCAGAGTGTGCGGGCTTTATGCTTTCAACATGAATTAAATCCATTGTGAAGTTAATCCAGAGAGAGCCTAGATGACTGGTGAGCCATAGAGAATGTATTGGATGGTTTTATTTTGGTTACTGAAAACAAAGTCTTGTCTAGCACAATGAAAATCATTAAAAATAAAATGGCAATTTTAGCACAATTTTAAGAAAATGCCCTACTTCATCGCTGTACTTTATTTTGCTAGCAAGAAACTAAAACTGTTTTTATTTTTCTTAGAAATGAGAGACACTGGAAGTCATAACTGTAGTAGTTACTATGAAAATGGAAAAATAATTATCTTAGACTATTTTAGAAGTAGGGTGTGAACATATATTTTTAGGGAAAAAGCTGATAGTCATAGGGAATACATAATTTATTGGACCAAAGCCCAAATCAAGAAGCTTAAAACTGCACCTGTGGAGCGTCACCCGAGCCAACATGTCAAATAATGTATTGAATATTTATGACAAGAGTATATTTGTATCCTCAGATAGTTTATTACACAAATTTTCATTTTGTGATTCTGTATATATTGCCCTGAACTTTCTGTGACCATAGATTAAAAATATCTTTCGGTTCCAAATAGAAAGACAATTCCTTATTGTCTGATTGTAATACAGCCTCTATTGTGCTATTCATCCCGTTGTTTGCTTCATTCTCAGTCTGTGTAAAAACCTGGGTTAGTCTGCCTTAGATGATTGCTTATTTATGTGTAACAAATCCCACACATTCTCATGGCAACTTCCTTAATTCTTCCCAGTCATATAATATATAACCATAGTATCGTATACTATTAAGCAGTATTTAAAAGACTCAAGTTTGAATTAATATGCTTCTTTTATTCCTCAAAGCAATCCTTTACAACCTGACCACGTAAAAGATCTGTTACCCTTAGAGTGTTGAGCCTGCTGATTTCATTTAGGACAAATGCGTGTTTTCTGAATAAAATGAGAGAAATGTTGTCTTTATTGATAAAGTTGGCTAGAAGACTGATGACCTGGCACAGTTTCCTGTTTTAATTTAGAGCCTTTGATTCTTCTATAGAGACAACGTGTGTGCTTTCCTGGATTCCTGATGAGTTCTGCCATTTTCTACTTAACTTCAAAGCCCAATTTTAAGTAACAGAGCTATGCTGTCGATGTGACAGTTGGTTTGTTAGATGGAGCTGATGCATCACTATGGAGCTTACATGAGATGGGCAGTATATAGTTTAAGGCATGACACAGCGATTAGCTTCTGGGGTACTCCATAACCTTGGATTTTTTTTCCCACTGGGTCCTTTTACCACAAAATTAACCATTTATGAAATAGTCTGTCCACAAAGACTGTTTCAAAGTATGTTCACCTGGGATTGGATTTATGCTATGGACAAAGCAATGCAGCATCAGGAGAGCATTGGTAACATTCTTAGGTATCATTATACTTTGCTGTATCTTATCACAGTACACTGGGCCAGAGTTAACACCTGGATAACATGGTGGTGGTAGGTGTATATTTGGGTCCGTGAAATCTGAAAAAAAACAAAACAAAAACAAAGTTCTTGTTCAGATTGCGTGAGGCATTTTAATATATTTTAAGCTCAACTGGGTCACTCTTGATTGATACCCACTCATGAAGATTTAGCTGAGATTTTGTGAGTCAAGGTTTAGGGATGGGAAGGATTCTGTTACCTGATACCTGATGGGGATTGTGTGACTGCCAGCATGTTTTAGATGATTTAATTATCTTTTGTTGCCAGGTGAATGGGAATTAACAACAGTTTTATGTCTTTGTGAAAATTGAAAGTAACTTTTATTTTAATACTATATTTAAAGACATGGAGTTTGTCTGGTTCATTATCTATCTATCTATCTGTCTGTCTGTCTGTCTCTCTATCTATCTATCATCTATATAATATATATCTAGCTACCTGTCTACCTGTCATTCACCTACATACCTGCTATTAAATGGACTTCTTTGTCTGATATCCTTTCAATAAAAGTTTGTGTTCTTTGTTTCAGGTTTTCAGTCTATATTTCTTTAGAATTTAATGAGGATTTTTTTTCATGTAAGCAGCTGTTTAGACCATCAATCAATCAATGCATTTTACAAAAATCAAGGGAACATCTCACTGAAATTAATGTACACTATTTGTTTCTTAAAGGTTTTTAAAAGATTATATGTGAAACTGAGAACTTCTGGTGGTTACATATATAATGTGCATGAAAATTTTCTATTACTTTGAGAAGAAAATAATAGTTTGCTTTAGATGCATATTGACACCAACAATATGAAAAATACACATTTGTCTTTGTAGCCCTCAAGGTAATGTACTTAAGCTCTTCTGACACTTTGATAATGCTATTTCTGCATTTCGCATAAGGTACTAATTGTGGTATACTTTCAACTGACATTAAGCTTTGCAAAGTGATCAAGGAAAATATTTAAAATAAGTAATTATAGAGAAGGATGAAATTCTAGAGTATAGTAAATAAGAACTGTGTTTAATGATATGAGAAAGGCAACCACTTCTCTGGAAGCTTGAACTTTCATTCCTTTATAATAAGAAGGTTATAAAATCTAATAAAAAATTATACTTTCCAATATTAAAATAGCAGGACATGTCATACTATGAAGAGCATAATGTGTGCGTAACTCTTGCAGCACATGGGAAGGCTGAGCCAAACAATCAACACACTAGTGTGTGGATATTCGCACATGTGTGCTTGCAGCCGTGTGTGTGTGAGTGAGTGTGTGTGTGTGTGTGTGTGTGTGTGTAGTGGGCCCCAGAAGTCAATCACTAGATAACTGGTAAAACACCAGACAAACTGGTAACAACTAGTAACTCATTCCCAGTTCAGGAGAATATTGAAAGTGAAATTTAAAAGTAATTTTGATTTTTTCCTATAAATTTAAAGTTGTGCATTTGATTCCTTTTCCATAATAACCTCAGTTGATCAGAAGCAAAATAGGTGGCTATTTAGAAGAACTCACTTAACCCAAATATTTCTTCTATGAATGTGTTGTTATGCTCCCATTAACAATCTCATTCAGGAAATCAATAGCAAAACCATTTTTTGATCTTCTCTTACCCCTTCCCTTATCACTCTTTAATGACCAGTTCCTACTGTTAATATGTATAAAGTAAAAATCCTAAAAACTTTACAAATGTAATTTTATGTGTCTTTCAATGATGGAGACACTGTAGGCAGAGCAAGTTCACTTGAAATTCTTTCTGCAGAGGATCCTGAGGGAAAAGGACTTGAGCTCCAGTTGTCTCTTGCCATTGCTTGCTTCCTTTATGATGTTACAAGAGACCTGAGGATTTTTATTCCTTCCCAATTTAAACTATAGAATAGATGCACATACAAAATGCATGTCTACACACAGGCATATATTCTCTCAACTGATGCCTTCAAATGGTCAAAGATAGCTTAAAATACTTATTTATTATGTTATCAAAAGTTTTAAGTTCAACATCTAATACAAAGGCTTTATCTGTGAACTTGTAACCAATATTTTTGAACAGACACGTATCTGTCAATATAAATAAATTTATTTACACTCATGTGATGGTGATTGTCATTATTGGGAACTCCACATACTCAAAGGCAGTCTGCATGTTGGAAAATGAGAATTTTCATTTTATTTCTCCAAGAGAGGACTCACATAAATTTGCAAAGGCATCCTGATGGAGACAACCACTGTCAGTTAACACCTCAGGCTAAAACAGAGACATTAAATCTGCCTCACCATGGATCTGATTTACTGTCTTTCATACACAAGCACTCCAACATATGAAACACCACCTACCAAGCCTCAAAAATGACTATAACATTTTACGTGGCTTATGCAAAGTGTCCATGGAATGAGCATTTATCAAAAAATAAACATTCTGCACAATAGCTCTGGTTAGCATTTCTTCTTCATCTAGCTAGTTTGCTTGCTACAATTAATGAATACTCTGTGCAGCTGTTGTAAAATCTTTACGACACAATCTGTAAAGCAAGTTGAAGTTAAAAGCTGTTGTTTGTGTTTGAAATTGAATGGTTTTTGGAATTTTATTTTCCATTTCTGTTCAAAAATAAACCATTTGTCAGTTTTGCTTAAAGGCTGGAAGGGAGGTTGGTCCTGTGATTCATGGAGTAGTAGCTCTCTCTCTCTACATTTCTGTTTGTCAGTTTACTCCAGGAGATGGAAAAGCAAAAGTCCTACATCACATCAAGGCTATACATCATTACAAGACCTACAAGAGTTGTCACAGACATCTACACTTCAGCTGCTCAATTAGAGAGGCCCAGGGTTGACTTTCTGCCTATGAAACATTCATAAGCGACTATAAAGCTTTTTACCCAAACTCATTTCCTTATCTTTAAACCAGTAATCTGTAATCCTGGGCCTTACCTGAGGTGACCTACATTGATAACCCTGTTACTTTAAAACAGAATGATAGAGGCATGCTGCAGTGGAAATACTTTTGGGAACATCAGATAGAATGGTCAATGGGTTTTGACTATTGTTGATGGGATTATCATATCCTTCCTGGTGTAAGAAGAGACAGATACAGTCCTCATCATGTGAAGGGAAGAAAGATGTATACAAGCCAATAAGATGAGCCTGCACAAAACCTAGGAGAGTGTAAGCATTCAGTGATAATTATTATCTCCTTTTCTTTTATTTCTTATAGTTTTGTGATTTTTTTACAAGTTATTTAGGTCGTTGTAGGAGATGTGACTTCTTGGGTGTGTTCAACATACGTATAGAAGTGTTTAACAACAAGGAGCAAGCTGGTGTTCCTATTCTTAACCTCTTATCTTGCCTGAATGCTCCTTGAACATCATTGTAAGCCATTCATGTAACCAGGAAAGGCTGGGAATGCTGAAGTCTTATCCACTGCAAGTAATATCCATGACCCTCTCTAACCCTTAAGCAACACTAGAAACAAGGTTTTCTAACATCTACAAGCACGATTCTAATGTAATACAGGGGAAGCTAATGATGCATTGCGATCATGGCACAGGGTGGTTTTGCAGTCCTGTGAATGACAGATAATTGAATGTCAGCAAGCAGAACTGAGAAAATTTGATGCTCGTGATAAAACAGCACTGTAGCAACAACAGCTGTGTCATCCCACGGGTGAGGAGGGAGGGGAGCTCTGCATAAGTGTTGAAAAAAGAAAGC